CTGTTCTAGTTCTGTTCTAGTTCTGTTCTAGTTCTGTTCTAGTTCTGTTCTAGTTCTGTTCTAGTTCTGTTCTAGTTCTGTTCTAGTTCTGTTCTAGTTCTGTTCTAGTTCTGTTCTAGTTCTGTTCTAGTTCTGTTTGTTCTGTTCTAGTTCTGCTCTAGTTCTGTTCTAGTTCTGTTCTAGTTCTGTTCTAGTTCTGTTCAAGTTCTGTTCTAGTTCTGTTCTAGTTCTGTTCTAGTTCTGTTCTAGTTCTGTTCTAGTTCTGTTCTAGTTCTGTTCTAGTATGTTTCTAGTTCTGTTCTAGTTCTGTTCTAGTTCTGTTCTAGTTATGTTCTAGTTCTAGTTCTGTTCTAGTTCTGTTCTAGTTCTGTTCTAGTTCTGTTCTAGTCTGTTCTAGTTCTGTTCTAGTTCTGTTCTAGTTCTGTTCTAGTTCTGTTCTAGTTCTGTTCTAGTTCTGTTCTAGTTCTGTTCTAGTTCTGTTCTAGTTCTGTTTTAGTTTGTTCTAGTTCTGTTCTAGTCTGTTCTAGTTCTGTTAGTTTGTTCTAGTTCTGTTCTAGTTCTGTTCTAGTTCTGTTCTAGTCTGTTCTAGTTCTGTTCTAGTTCTGTTCTAGTTCTGTTCTAGTTCTGTTCTAGTTCTGTTCTAGTTCTGTTCTAGTTCTGTTCTAGTTCTGTTCTAGTTTGTTCTAGTTCTGTTCTAGTTCTGTTCTAGTTCTGTTCTAGTTCTGTTCTAGTTCTGTCTAGTTCTGTTCTAGTTCTGTTATTTCTAGTTCTGTTCTAGTTCTGTTCTAGTTCTGTTCTAGTTCTGTTCTAGTTCTGTTCTAGTCTGTTCTAGTTCTGTTCTAGTTCTGTTCTAGTTCTGTTCTAGTTCTGTTCTAGTTCTGTTCTAGTTCTGTTCTGTTCTAGTTCTGTCTAGTTCTGTTCTAGTCGTTCTAGTTCTGTTCTAGTTCTGTTCTAGTTCTGTTCTAGTTCTGTGTAGTCTGTTTTCTAGTTCTGTTCTAGTTCGTTCTAGTTCTGTTCTAGTCTGTTCTAGTTCTGTTCTAGTTCTGTTCTAGTTCTGTTCTAGTCTGTTCTAGTTCTGTTCTAGTTCTGTTTTTTTTTTTTCTTTTTTTTTTTTCTGTTCTGTTCTTTTTTTTTTTTTTTTTGTTCTTTGTTCTAGTTCTGTTCTAGATCTGTTCTAGTTCTGTTCTAGTTCTGTTCTAGTTCTGTTCTAGTTCTGTTCTAGTTCTGTTCTAGTTCTGTTCTAGTTCTGTTCTAGTTCTGTTCTAGTTCTGTTCTAGTTCTGTTCTAGTTCTGTTCTAGTTCTGTTCTAGTTCTGTTCTAGTTCTGTTCTAGTTCTGTTCTAGTTCTGTTCTAGTTCTGTTGTAGTTCTGTTGTAGTTCTGTTGTAGTTCTGTTGTAGTTCTGTTGTAGTTTTGTTGTAGTTCTGTTGTAGTTCTGTTGTAGTTTTGTTGTAGTTTGTTGTAGTTCTGTTCTAGCTCTGTTTTGTTCTGTTCTAGTTCTGTTCTAGTTCTGTTCTAGTTCTGTTCTAGTTCTGTTCTAGTTCTGTTCTAGTTCTGTTCTAGTTCTGTTCTAGTTCTGTTCTAGTTCTGTTCTAGTTCTGTTCTAGTTCTGTTCTAGTTCTGTTCTAGTTCTGTTCTAGTTCTGTTCTAGTTCTGTTCTAGTTCTGTTGTAGTTCTGTTGTAGTTCTGTTGTAGTTCTGTTGTAGTTCTGTTGTAGTTTTGTTGTAGTTCTGTTGTAGTTCTGTTGTAGTTTTGTTGTAGTTTGTTGTAGTTCTGTTCTAGCTCTGTTCTTGTTCTGTTCTAGTTCTGTTCTAGTTCTGTTCTAGTGTTCTAGTTCTGTTCTAGTTCTGTTCTAGTTCTGTCTAGTTCTGTTCTAGTTCTGTTCTAGTTCTGTTCAGTTTCTAGTTCTAGTTCTGTTCTAGTTCTGTTCTAGTTCTGTTCTAGTTCTGTTCTAGTTCTGTTCTAGTTCTGTTCTAGTTCTGTTCTAGTTCTGTTCTAGTTCTGTTCTAGTTCTGTTCTAGTTCTGTTCTAGTTCTGTTCTAGTTCTGTTCTGTTCTAGTTCTGCTTAGTTCTGTTCTAGTTCTGTTCTAGTTCTGTTCTAGTTCTGTTCAAGTTCTGTTCTAGTTCTGTTCTAGTTCTGTTCTAGTTCTGTTCTAGTTCTGTTCTAGTTCTGTTCTAGTTATGTTCTGTTCTAGTTCTGTTCTAGTTCTGTTCTAGTTGTTCTAGTTCTGTTCTAGTTATGTTCTAGTTCTAGTTCTGTTCTAGTTCTGTTCTAGTTCTGTTCTAGTTCTGTTCTAGTTCTGTTCTAGTTCTGTTCTAGTTCTGTTCTAGTTCTGTTCTAGTTCTGTTCTAGTTCGTTCTAGTTCTGTTCTAGTTCTGTTCTAGTTCTCTAGTTCTGTTTTAGTTCTGTTCTAGTTCTGTTCTAGTTCTGTTCTAGTTCTGTTCTAGTTCTGTTCTAGTTCTGTTCTAGTTCTGTTCTAGTTCTGTTCTAGTTCTGTTCTAGTTCTGTTCTAGTTCTGTTCTAGTTCTGTTCTAGTTCTGTTCTAGTTCTGTTCTAGTTCTGTTCTAGTTCTGTTTTTTGTTCTAGTTCTGTTCTAGTTCTGTTCTAGTTCTGTTCTAGTTCTGTTCTAGTTCTGTTCTAGTTCTGTTCTAGTTCTGTGTTCTAGTTCTGTTCTAGTTCTGTTCTAGTTCTGTTCTAGTTCTGTTCTAGTTCTGTTCTAGTTCTGTTCTAGTTCTGTTCTAGTTCTGTTCTAGTTCTGTTCTAGTTCTGTTCTAGTTCTGTTCTGTTCTAGTTCTGTTCTAGTTCTGTTCTAGTTCTGTTCTAGTTCTGTTCTAGTTCTGTTTAGTTCTGTTCTAGTTCTGTTCTAGTTCTGTTCTAGTTCTGTTCTAGTTCTGTTCTAGTTCTGTTCTAGTTCTGTTCTAGTTTGTTCTGTTCTAGTTCTGTTCTAGTTCTGTTCTAGTTATGTTCTAGTTCTGTTCTAGTTCTGTTCTAGTTCTGTTCTAGTTCGTTCTAGTTCTGTTCTAGTTCTGTTCTAGTTCTGTTTAGTTCTGTTCTAGTTCTGTTCTAGTTCGTTCTAGTTCTGTTCTAGTTCTGTTCTAGTTCTGTTCTAGTTCTGTTCTAGTTCTGTTCTAGTTCTGTTCTAGTTCTGTTCTAGTTCTGTTCTAGTCTGTTCTAGTTCTGTTCTAGTTCTGTTCTAGTTCTGTTCTAGTTCTGTTCTAGTTCTGTTCTAGTTCTGTTCTAGTTCTGTTCTAGTTCTGTTCTAGTTCTGTTCTAGTTCTGTTTCTAGTTCTGTTCTAGTTCTGTTCTAGTTCTGTTCTAGTTCTGTTCTAGTTCTGTTCTAGTTCTGTTCTAGTTCTGTTCTAGTTCTGTTCTAGTTCTGTTCTAGTTCTGTTCTAGTTCTGTTCTAGTCTGTTCTAGTTCTGTTCTAGTTCTGTTCTAGTTCTGTTCTAGTTCTGTTCTAGTTCTGTTCTAGTTCTGTTCTAGTTCTGTTCTAGTTCTGTTCTAGTTCTGTTCTAGTTCTGTTCTAGTTCTGTTCTAGTTCTGTTCTAGTTCTGTTCTAGTTCTGTTCTAGTTCTGTTCTAGTTCTGTTCTAGTTCTGTTCTAGTTCTGTTCTGGTTCTGTTCTAGTTATGTTCTGTTCTGTTCTGTTCTAGTTATGTTCTAGTTAGTTCTGTTCTAGTTCTGTTCTAGTTCTGTTCTAGTTCTGTTCTAGTTCTGTTTAGTTCTGTTCTAGTTCTGTTCTAGTTCTGTTCTAGTTCTGTTCTAGTTCTGTTCTAGTTCTGTTCTAGTTCTGTTCTAGTTCTGTTCTAGTTCTGTTCTAGTTCTGTTCTAGTTCTGTTCTAGTTCTGTTCTAGTTCTGTTCTAGTTCTGTTCTAGTTCTGTTCTAGTTCTGTTCTAGTTCTGTTCTAGTTCTGTTCTAGTTCTGTTCTAGTTCTGTTCTAGTTCTGTTCTAGTTCGTCTAGTTCTGTTCTAGTTCTGTTCTAGTTCTGTTCTAGTTCTGTTCTAGTTCTGTTCTAGTTCTGTTCTAGTTCTGTTCTAGTTCTGTTCTAGTTCTGTTCTAGTTCTGTTCTAGTTCTGTTCTAGTTCTGTTCTAGTTCTGTTCTAGTTCTGTTCTAGTTCTGTTCTAGTTCTGTTCTAGTTCTGTTCAGTTTCTGTTCGAGTTCTGTTCTAGTTCTGTTCTAGTTCTGTTCTAGTTCTGTCTCTTGTTCTAGTTCTGTTTAGTTGTTCTGTTCTAGTTCTGTTCTAGTTCTGTTCTAGTTCTGTTCTAGTTCTGTTCTAGTTCTAGTTCTGTTCTAGTTCTGTTCTAGTTCTGTTCTAGTTCTGTTCTAGTTCTGTTCTAGTTCTGTTCTAGTTCTGTTCTAGTTCTGTTCTAGTTCTGTTCTAGTTCTGTTCTGTTCTGTTTCTAGTTCTATTAGTTCTTTCTAGTTCTGTTCTAGTTCTGTTCTAGTTCTGTTCTAGTTCTGTTCTAGTTCTGTTCTAGTTCTGTTCTAGTTCCGTTTATTTCTGTTCTAGTTCTGTCCTGATGCTGTTTTAGTTTACCCTGATTCTGTTCTAAATCAGTTGTGGCTCGTTTTAGTTTATTTCTAGTTCAGAAAAACAATTCTATTTTTATACCCCTTTCAAAATGAAGTAACCTTTGATCAAACATTATGAAGCAGCATGATCGATCACTGCTCACCCACAAACTTGTGTTTTTTATTATTTTAAGAAAGCTTTTGTCTAAATTTTCCTCTTTCGAGTCTTATCAGTGTAATTTCTGTTAGTTGTTTAGATTCCCCATCAGTTAAAGTGTTTTAAAGTGAAGCAATTTAAAAATTTCTTAAAGGAGACCTTAACATCTGTCAGATGTTTTGGCAGACATTTCTTTGTGTCTGATAGAAATAAGATTATTAAATTTAGTGCTTTGTAACCCAGTTGTTTAAAAGGTCAATGTACGACATTATTATTCACATCATTATCTCATCAAAGATTTAATGGGAATATTATTTTTTTTTTTTTACAGCTCCTTACCTAAATCTATAAAATGGCCACTGATGCTCTATACAATCGCACCGGTCCTAATCGCCTAAAGCAAAGTGATGTTTACAGGACTACCGATGTTACACAAGCCGTCAAAATTCGCATGTCTAAGGATGGTTTGGGTGCTGAAGAACCCATTTCCATTCCCGGTTTGTTAAAGCGTTCGGTTAACAATTATCCCGACTACCCAGCCTTGAAAACCAAGAAGGGCAAAGGCGAATATACCACAGTTACCTACAGGTGTGTATAATTTGAAGAATTCAGTTACTTTAAGAAACAACAATTAATTGTTTCTAATCTTTCTAGACAATATGAACAAAATGTTCATCAAACCGCTAAAGCTTTCATCAAATTGGGCATGAGTGCCCGCAGTTCTGTGGGTGTTTTGGCCTTTAATTGTGCCGAATGGTTTTATTCGGCTATGGGTGCCATCCATGCTGGTGGTGTTATTGCCGGTATTTATACCAAAACTCTGCAGATGCTGTTTTGCATGTTTTGGAAAATTCACATGCTGAAATTGTAGTCGTTGACGATGCCAAACAAATGGAGAAGATACATGCCATCAAAGATAAATTGCCAAATTTAAAGGCAGCCATTCAAATCCAGGAACCTTATGCTCCCTTCATGAAGAAGGAAGATGGTTATTACAGAGTAAGATTAAAAACAATAAGAGTTTTGTTTTTCGTATTCTCTATCTAAACATAACTGTTTTTTCGTTTTAGTGGTCTGAAATTGAAAATATGAATGTTTCAGATGTTGAAGATGAATACAAAAAGCGTTTGGAAAATATTGCCATCAATGAATGCTGCTGCTTAGTCTATACTGTAAGTCTTGTCTTCCAACATTTCTATGGTTTTATTTGTTAGTTGCAAGACATCATTCATTTCATCATCAATATTCGAAAGCATCGTATAAGAAGATGATGAAAAACAAACTAAAAACTAAAATTTATTTTCTAATCCTTTGTTTTTTCTTTTCATTCTTTCCCTGCTGTATGCAGTCTGGCACAGTTGGTATGCCAAAGGGTGTGATGCTCAGTCATGATAACATTACATTCGATGTTCGTGCCATTACAAAATCTTTGGAACGTGTTGTTGCTGGTTCAGAGGTTTTGGTCTCCTACTTGCCATTGTCTCATGTTGCCGCCCAGACTGTCGATATTTATACAATGACTGCTGTAGCCGGTTGCGTTTATTTTGCCGATAAAGATGCTTTGAAAGGTACTTTGGTGAAATCATTACAAGATGCTCGTCCAACAAGATTTATGGGTGTACCACGTGTCTATGAGAAGTTCCAGGAACGTATGGTTGCTGTTGCCTCCACTAGTGGTAGTTTTAAAAAAATGATTGCCAGCTGGGCCAAGGGTGTTACACTCAAACATTATATGGAGAGCCAAGGGTGAGTTGATGTTGTTGTTGCTGTAGGGAATACATGAATTAGTTTGGAGTACATATGTAGGTACTTATAATGGATTAAAAATGAGAGGAGGAGTAATTTAATTGGAAAACTTAGTTATAGTTCAGTTCTAGTTCAGTTCTAGTTGAGTTCTAGTTGAGTTCTAGTTCAGTTCTTGTTCAGTTCTAGTTCAGTTCTAGTTCAGTTCTAGTTCAGTTCTAGTTCAGTTCTAGTTCAGTTCTAGTTCAGTTCTAGTTCAGTTCTAGTTCAGTTCTAGTTCAGTTCTAGTTCAGTTCTAGTTCATCTAGTTCTTCTAGTTCAGTTCTAGTTCAGTTCTAGTTCAGTTCTAGTTCAGTTCTAGTTCAGTTCTAGTTCAGTTCTAGTTCAGTTCTAGTTCAGTTCTAGTTCAGTTCTAGTTCAGTTCTAGTTCAGTTCTAGTTCAGTTCTAGTTCAGTTCTAGTTCAGTTCTAGTTCAGTTCTAGTTCAGTTCTAGTTCAGTTCTAGTTCAGTTCTAGTTCAGTTCTAGTTCAGTTCTAGTTCAGTTCTAGTTCAGTTCTAGTTCAGTTCTAGTTCAGTTCAGTTCTAGTTCAGTTCTAGTTCAGTTCTAGTTCAGTTCTAGTTCAGTTCTAGTTCAGTTCTAGTTCAGTTCTAGTTCGTTCTAGTTCAGTTCTAGTTCAGTTCTAGTTCAGTTTCTAGTTCAGTTCTAGTTCAGTTCTAGTTCAGTTCTAGTTCAGTTCTAGTTCAGTTCTAGTTAGTTCTAGTTCAGTTCTAGTTCAGTTCTAGTTCAGTTCTAGTTCAGTTCTAGTTCAGTTCTAGTTCAGTTCTAGTTCAGTTCTAGTTCAGTTCTAGTTCAGTTCTAGTTCAGTTCTAGTTCAGTTCTAGTTCAGTTCTAGTTCAGTTCTAGTTCAGTTCTAGTTCAGTTCTAGTTCAGTTCTATTTCAGTTCTAGTTCAGTTCTAGTTCAGTTCTAGTTCAGTTCTAGTTCAGTTCTAGTTCAGTTCTAGTTCAGTTCTAGTTCAGTTCTAGTTCAGTTCTAGTTCAGTTCTAGTTCAGTTCTAGTTCTGTTCTAGTTCTGTTCTAGTTCAGTTCTAGTTCAGTTCTAGTTCAGTTCTAGTTCAGTTCTAGTTCAGTTCTAGTTCAGTTCTAGTTCAATTCTAGTTCAGTTCTAGTTCAGTTCTAGTTCAGTCTAGTTCTAGTCAGTTCAGTTCTAGTTCAGTTCTAGTTCAGTTCTAGTTCAGTTCTAGTTCAGTTCTAGTTCAGTTCTAGTTCAGTTCTAGTTCAGTTCTAGTTCAGTTCTAGTTCAGTTCTAGTTCAGTTCTAGTTCAGTTCTAGTTCAGTTCTAGTTCAGTTCTAGTTCAATTCTAGTTCAGTTCTAGTTCAGTTCTAGTTCAGTTCTAGTTCTAGTTCAGTTCTAGTTCAGTTCTAGTTCAGTTCTAGTTCAGTTCTAGTTCAGTTCTAGTTCAGTTCTAGTTCAGTTCTAGTTCTAGTTCAGTTCTAGTTCTAGTTCAGTTCTAGTTCAGTTCTAGTTCAGTTCTAGTTCAGTTCTAGTTCAATTCTAGTTCAGTTCTAGTTCAGTTCTAGTTCTAGTTCAGTTCTAGTTCAGTTCTAGTTCAGTTCTAGTTCAGTTCTAGTTCAGTTCTAGTTCAGTTCTAGTTCAGTTCTAGTTCAGTTCTAGTTCAGTTCTAGTTCAATTCTAGTTCAGTTCTAGTTCAGTTCTAGTTCAGTTCTAGTTCAGTTCTAGTTCAGTTCTAGTTCAGTTCTAGTTCAGTTCTAGTTCAGTTCTAGTTCAGTTCTAGTTCAGTTCTAGTTCAGTTCTAGTTCAGTTCTAGTTCAGTTCTAGTTCAGTTCTAGTTCAGTTCTAGTTCAGTTCTAGTTCAGTTCTTGTTCAGTTCTAGTTCAGTTCTAGTTCAGTTCTAATTCAGTTCTAGTTTAGTTCTAGTTCAGTTCTAGTTCAGTTCTAGTTCAGTTCTAGTTGAGTTCTAGTTCAGTTCTAGTTCAGTTCTAGTTCAGTTCTAGTTCAGTTCTAGTTCAGTTCTAGTTCAGTTCTAGTTCAGTTCTAGTTCAGTTCTAGTTCAGTTCTAGTTCAGTTCTAGTTCAGTTCTAGTTCAGTTCTAGTTCAGTTCTAGTTCAGTTCTAGTTCAGTTCTAGTTCAGTTCTAGTTCAGTTCTAGTTCAATTCTAGTTCAGTTCTAGTTCAGTTCTAGTTCTGTTCTATTCTGCTCTAGTTCTGTTCTAGTTCAGTTCTAGTTCAGTTCTAGTTCAGTTCTAGTTCAGTTCTAGTTCAGTTCTAGTTCAGTTCTAGTTCAGTTCTAGTTCAGTTCTAGTTCAGTTCTAGTTCAGTTCTAGTTCAGTTCTAGTTCAGTTCTAGTTCAGTTCTAGTTCAGTTCTAGTTCAGTTCTAGTTCAGTTCTAGTTTAGTTCTAGTTCAGTTCTAGTTCAGTTCTAGTTCAGTTCTAGTTCAGTTCTAGTTTAGTTCTAGTTCAGTTCTAGTTCAGTTCTAGTTCAGTCTAGTTCAGTTCTAGTTCAGTTCTAGTTCAGTTCTAGTTTAGTTCTAGTTTAGTTCTAGTTTAGTTCTAGTTAGTTCTAGTTCAGTTCTAGTTCAGTTCTAGTTCAGTTCTAGTTCAGTTCTAGTTCAGTTCTAGTTCAGTTCTAGTTCAGTTCTAGTTCAGTTCTAGTTCAGTTCTAGTTCAGTTCTAGTTCAGTTCTAGTTCAGTTCTAGTTCAGTTCTAGTTCAGTCCTAGTTCAGTTCTAGTTCAGTTCTAGTTCAGTTCTAGTTCAGTTCTAGTTCAGTTCTAGTTCAGTTCTAGTTCAGTTCTAGTTCAGTTCTAGTTCAGTTCTAGTTCAGTTTAGTTAGTTCAGTTCTAGTTCAGTTCTAGTTCAGTTCTAGTTCAGTTCTAGTTCAGTTCTAGTGCAGTTCTAGTTCAGTTTTAGTTCAGTTCTAGTTCAGTTCTAGTTCAGTTCTAGTTCAGTTCTAGTTCAGTTCTAGTTCAGTTCTAGTTCAGTTCTAGTTCAGTTCTAGTTCAGTTCTAGTTCAGTTCTAGTTCAGTTCTAGTTCAGTTCTAGTTCAGTTCTAGTTCAGTTCTAGTTCAGTTCAGTTCTAGTTCAGTTCTAGTTCAGTTCTAGTTCAGTTCTAGTTCAGTTCTAGTTCAGTTCTAGTTCAGTTCTAGTTCAGTTCTAGTTCAGTTCTAGTTCAGTTCTAGTTCAGTTCTAGTTCAGTTCTAGTTCAGTTCTAGTTCAGTTCTAGTTCAGTTCTAGTTCAGTTCTAGTTCAGTTCTAGTTCAGTTCTAGTGCAGTTCTAGTTCAGTTCTACTACTTTAGATCAAAGTTTATTTTTACAATCTTTGTTCTTTTTGCAAAGTGAATTGATGTGCAACAATTTTCACCTTGATTTTTCCCCTCTGCAAAATATCTAACAGAAATTTTCATTCACGCAATGAAAGCAATTTCAATTAATCTTTTACATGCAAAAACATGTTGTAACTACCTTAAGTATATTTTAACCAAAATCTTTACAACTAACACGAGCACGAAAGCAAAGTTTTTTTTTTGAAACGCAACCATAATGTATGTATGTATATAAAAGACTCTTATGCACACATTTTTCCAGGGAAAAATGTTATTATATGCAAAAAACGTTAGTAAAGAAAATAAAAAAGGGAGCATTGCATCAGAAGTAGCGGTCAGGATGCATACAACAACTTGTGTATGACATGTAATGACTCCTAGTCGTTCAGTCTCACTATGGGTTTGTGGCAATGTCAGGTGTAGTTGGGATTTTTTTTTTCTATTTTTAAATAGATCTAACCATTATTAGCACATGGTGGATGATGATGTTCTGGTTGTGGTGGGATGTCTTTGCATTTAGCAAACTAGAAGTAAAAATGTATAAACTGCTTGCAAACTTTGTGTATAAAAAACATGGACATTTTAAAAAATGCAAAAAATGAAAACGAAGATTTACATTATGGTTTGTAAAACATCTGGGTAAATACAAGAGTCTTAAGATGCTAAGTTGGACAAGATAATTAATTGTTGTTTTGCGAAATGAGTGCAAAAGGTTAGATATTTAGTGAAGGGTTTATGTTTATCCTAATTTATAGTTATTTTAATATTTAATTTTAAATTTATTTAATTTTTCGTTTTCAGCAAAAATGGTGGATTCCGCTACAAGCTTGCCAAAAATTTGATCATGTCTAAGGTTAAACAGGCCTTGGGTTTGGATCGTGTAGTTACTTTGGTTAGTGCTGCTGCCCTATGTCTCCCGAAACTAAGAATATTTCTTGAGTTTAGATCTGAAGATCTTGGATGCCTTTGGTATGTCTGAAACAGCTGGTTGCCATTCTTTGTGTTTGCCCGATACCATGCAATTGACCTCGATTGGCAAGACTTTGGGTGGTTGCGAGACCAAGATTATTAACAAGATGAAAACGGTCATGGCGAGGTGAGTTGGAAATTGTTATTTAAATTGTAGCTCAAGTGCAAATTCTGGTTCAGTTCTAGTTCAGTTCTTGTTCAGTTCTTGTTCAGTTCTAGTTCAGTTGTAGTTCAGTTGTAGTTCAGCTGTAGTTCAGTTGTAGTTCAGTTGTAGTTCAGTTCAAGTTCAGTTCTAGTTCAGTTCTAGTTCAGTTCTAGTTCAGTTCTAGTTCAGTTCTAGTTCAGTTCTAGTTCAGTTCTAGTCCAGTTCTAGTTCAGTTCTAGTTCAGTTCTAGTTCAGTTCTAGTTCAGTTTTAGTCAGTTCTAGTTCAGTTCTAGTTCAGTTCTAGTTTAGTTCTAGTTCAGTTCTAGTTCTAGTTCAGCTCTAGTTCAGTTCTAGTTCAGTTCTAGTTCTAGTTCAGCTCTAGTTCAGTTCTAATTCTAGTTCAGTTCTAGTTCAGTTCTAGTTCAGTTCTAGTTCAGTTCTAGTTCAGTTCTAGTTCAGTTCTGGTTCAGTTCTAGTTCAGTTCGAGTTCAGTTCTAGTTCAGTTCTAGTTCAGTTCTAGTTCAGTTCTAGTTCAGTTCTAGTTCAGTTCTAGTTCAGTTCTAGTTCAGTTCTAGTTCAGTTCTAGTTCAGTTCTAGTTCAGTTCTAGTTCAGTTGTAGTTCAGTTCTAGTTCAGTTCTAGTTCAGTTTTAGTTCAGTTCTAGTTCAGTTCTAGTTCAGTTCTAGTTCAGTTCTAGTTCAAGTTCTAGTTCAGTTCTAGTTCAGTTCTAGTTCAGTTCTAGTTCAGTTCTAGTTCAGTTCTAGTTCAGTTGTAGTTCAGTTGTAGTTCAGTTCTAGTTCAGTTGTAGATCAGTTCAGTTTTAGTTCAATTCAGGTTAATTTCTTCTTCAGTTCAATATTTTATAATAATTCATTTTTAAAATTCCAGATTTGCATTCGTGGTCGTCATGTTTTCATGGGCTACATTGACAACAAAGAAAAAACGGAAGAGGCTTGGATGATGAATGCTGGTTACATTCCGGTGATGTTGGTTATGTCGATGACAAGGGTTATGTTTTACATAACAGGCAGATCTAAGGAAATTATTATTACAGCTGGCGGTGAAAATATTCCACCAGTACACATTGAAAATTTGATTAAAAAGGAATGTGACGCCATTTCCAATGCCTTCCTTATCGGAGAACAGCGTAAATATTTGACCGTGCTGATATCCCTTAAAGTAAATATAATAAATACACGACCTATTTTACATATTTTTATAAAAAATTATTTTGAATATCTAGACTGAAATGGACAAAGATACAGGTGCTCCTTTGGAGAACTCAGTCACGAATCTTTGGTTTTGATGAAATCCTTAGGTGTTAACCACAAAACTTTAACAGAAGTTTTGAATGCTGGCCCCTGTCCAAAGGTTTTCAAGGCCATTGAGGATGCCATTAAGCGTGCCAACAAACATTCCATTTCTAATGCCCAAAAAGTGCAAAAGTTCACCATCTTGCCTCATGATTTCTCCATACCCACCGGTGAATTGGGTCCCACTTTGAAGGTGAAACGTAATGTGGTCAATAAGCAGTACGCCGATATGGTGGAGAAAATGTATGCTTAAATTCTTAATTAATTAAACACTATGAAAATATTTTATTCTAAAAATATTTTCCTTAATGAAAAACATAAAATTTCTAATAAGAAATTTGTTAGTGCCTGAAGTCATAATTAAAATTCTGCATAATTTATTAAATTTTACTTAATTGGACCAACAATATTTGTTAAATATTACTTAATGAATTTATTTGATTGTTATATTTAATATTGTTATTTAATTAGTTGTTAAACTTGAAGTTAAACATTGAATTAAAAAAAGACAATAAATATTTAGTGCGAGAGTTTTTAACTACTTAAACTGATTTTATCCTAGTTACGATAATAATGATTCCCTTAGCCATGAAGACATGTAAATAGTTTTAGTTTTTTTTTCATTTAATTTAAATTTTATTTTTCTTGCTATTATTTGCTTTATTTAATTATAAGTTTTAGTGTATTGAAAATTGTTATTAATTTAAAATATATAATAAAATATTGTTGAAATTTATTTGTATTTAAAATATAAAGAATATATTTTGAAAATATTGAGTGTTTGTTTAAACGATAATAGAAGCGGCCGAATTACCGAAATATTTGTAATGGAATGCTGATTAGGATTTAATTTGGAAATGAACAAGAGCTGAGCTAGAACCGAACTCGAACTGAACTAGAACTGAACTAACGAACTAGAACTGAACTAGAACTGAAATCGAACTGAACTAGAACTGCAACTAGAACTGAACTAGAACTGAACTAGAACTGAACTAGAACTGAACTAGAACTGAACTAGAACTGAACTAGAACTGAACTAGAACTGAACTAGAACTGAACTAGAACTGAACAAGAACATAACTAGAACTGAACTAGAACTGAACTAGAACTGAACTAGAACTGAACTAGAACTGAACTAGAACTGAACTAGAACTGAACTAGAACTGAACTAGAACTGAACTAGAACTGAACTAGAACTGAACTAGAACTGAACTAGAACTGAACTAGAACTGAACTAGAACTGAACTAGAACCGAACTAGAACTGAACTAGAACTGAACTAGAACTGAACTAGAACTGAACTAGAACTGAACTAGAACTGAACTAGAACTGAACTAGAACTGAACTAGAACTGAACTAGAACTGAACTAGAACTGAACTAGAACTGAACAAGAACTGAACTAGAACTGAACTAGAACTGAACTAGAACTGAACTAGAACTGAACTAGAACTGAACTAGAACTGAACTAGAACTGAACTAGAACTGAAATAGAACTGAACTAGAACTGAACTAGAACTGAACTAGAACTGAACTAGAACTGAACTAGAACTGAACTAGAACTGAACTAGAACTGAACTAGAACTGAACTAGAACTGAACTAGAACTGAACTAGAACTGAACTAGAACTGAACTAGAACTGAACTAGAACTCAACTAGAACTCAACTAGAACTGAACTAGAACTCAACTAGAACTGAACTAGAACTCAACTAGATCTGAACTAGAACTGAACTAAAACTGAACTAGAACTAGAACTGAACTAGAGCTGAACTAGAACTGAACTAGAACTGAACTAGAACTGAACTAGAACTGAACTAGAACTGAACTAGAACTGAACTAGAACTGAACTAGAACTGAACTAGAACTGAACTAGAACTGAACTAGAACTGAACTAGAACTGAACTAGAACTGAACTAGAACTGAACTAGAACTGAACTAGAACTGAACTAGAACTGAACTAGAACTGAACTAGAACTGAACTAGACTGAACTAAAACTGAACTAGAACTGAACTAGAACTGAACTAGAACTGACTACAACTGAATTACAACTGAACTACACTGAACTAGAAGTGAACTAGAACTCAACTAGACTCAACTAGAACTGAACTAGAACTCAACTAGAACTCAACTAGATCTGAACTAGAACTGAACTAGAACTGAACTAGAACTGAACTAGAACTGAACTAGAACTGAACTAGAACTGAACTAGAACTCAACTAGAACTCAACTAGATCTGAACTAGAACTGAACTAGAACTGAACTAGAACTGAACTAGAACTGAACTAGAACTGAACTAGAACTGAACTAGAACTGAACTAGAACTGAACTAGAACTGAACTAGAACTGAACTAGAACTGAACTAGAACTGAACTAGAACTGAACTAGAACTGAACTAGAACTGAACTAGAACTGAACTAGAACTGAACTAGAACTGAACTAGAACTGAACTAGAACTGAACTAAAACTGAACTAGAACTGAACTAGAACTGAACTTGAACTCAACTAGAACTGAACTAGAACTGAACTTGAACTCAACTAGAACTGAACTAGAACTGAACTAGAACTGAACTAGAACTGAACTAGAACTGAACTAGAACTGAACTAGAACTGAACTAGAACTGAACTGAACTAGAACTGAACTAGAACTGAACTAGAACTGAACTAGAACTGAACTAGAACTGAACTAGAACTGAACTAGAACTGAACTAGAACTGAACTAGAACTAAACTAGAACTGAACTACAACTGAACTAGAACTGAACTAGAACTGAACTAGAACTGAACTAGAACTGAACTAGAACTGAACTTGAACTGAGCTAGAATTGAGCTAAACCTGAATGATTAACTGAGTTCGATTTTTAAGGAATATAACTTATCGGATTTTAACTAATCCTCGAAGAATAAGTTATCGAGTAAGTTGACTAATACCAGCAAACGCATAATTGAACACCCTTATTCTTTTAGGTGAACGTGTAATAGAAAATGTGCGGTAATTTTATATGTGGTCGGTGCAAAAACGTCAGATATATTAATTGAGAAACTGATTTTCTGATATAAAAGTTATTACCAGAGCTTTGGCTAACTCAGTCAACCAGAATTAACGGCAAAAATCATTAATCGTTTTATAAATCTAATTTAAATAAAGTGTATAGAGAAATAATTTTTATAAAATTTGTTAAGAATAAAGGAAGAATCCAGAGGAAGTGCCTAAGGTCTTGAAGTTAAATTTCTGAATGTAGAGAATATAATCAAGAAGAGTGAACAGTTTAAACTGGTTTGTATTTGTGTACTTTGATAATAATTTTTTGCATTCAAATTAATAAGTATTTTTATAGACTTTGTATGACAATAATTTCAGTTTAATACTTATATATTAATACTGCAATTAGTTGTAGAGCAGGTAGTTGAAATTAGCAAATACTTTGTATAATGCGAATTAATTAACTTAAATAAAATGTTTTAAAATACCTTGGCACTTCAACAAAAAATACTACAGGTACAAAAAGTAAGGATATATTTATGATTTGCTAATGGAAGTGTTGAAACTGAGCAATAAGTTAACAAGAGTTTATCATGGGTTGTATATCCTTTTTAAAACTCCCATTCAATGTCTGCAACAGTAGAAATCTTTGACCTAAAAATTAGTATAAAATAGTAATACTACAAGTCATAAGACAAATCGTATTGTCAGTTTTATCGAGAATAGATTTGTAGTAATGTATAGAAATCGATTTTATATAATTAAGTGTACTTCGTCATTTTTGTTGTATTTAATAATACAATTCATTAAAATGCCATTTCTCATTCCTATAAAGATGCATCATAAGATAAACACTTTTCAAAGAATAGTAATGTATTTTTAAAAGTATTGATCGTATGGTTGAACTTTGTTTAATAGCACTATTTATTTTTCTTTATTTTACGATAGTTTAATTTTGAAAATGTGATTCAATTTTTTTAATGTCTCATCGGTAAGAAAATCAGTTTCATTTGCGGTCTTTGCAAAAAACGTGTTAATAAAATTAACATTTTGATTTAAGAAAAATATTCTTGGAAATATGAAGAGAAATATTTCTAATGCTGCTATTGCAGAATAGTTTTGTTCTAGTTCTGTTCTAGTTCAGTCTAGTTCAGTTCTAGTTCTGTTCTAGTTCTGTTCTAGTTCTGTTCTAGTTCTGTTCTAGTTCTGTTCTAGTTTTGTTCTAGTTCTGTTCTAGTTCTGTTCTAGTTCTGTTCTAGTTCTGTTCTAGTTCTGTTCTAGTTCTGTTCTAGTTCTGTTCTAGTTCTGTTCTAGTTCTGTTCTAGTTCTGTTCTAGTTCTGTTCTAGTTCTGTTCTAGTTCTGTTCTAGTTCTGTTCTAGTTCTGTTCTAGTTCTGTTCTAGTTCTGTTCTAGTTCTGTTCTAGTTCTGTTCTAGTTCTGTTCTAGTTCTGTTCTAGTTCTGTTCTAGTTCTGTTCTGTTCTAGTTTCTGTTCTGTTCTAGTTCTGTTCTAGTTCTGTTCTAGTTCTGTTCTAGTTCTGTTCTAGTTCTGTTCTAGTTCTGTTCTAGTTCTGTTCTAGTTCTGTTCTAGTTTCTGTTCTAGTTCTGTTCTAGTTCTGTTCTAGTTCTGTTCTAGTTCTGTTCTAGTTCTGTTCTAGTTCTGTCTAGTTCTGTTCTAGTTCTGTTCTAGTTCTGTTCTAGTTCTGTTCTAGTTCTGTTCTAGTTCTGTTCTAGTTCTGTTCTAGTTCTGTTCTAGTTCTGTTCTAGTTCTGTTCTAGTTCTGTTCTAGTTCTGTTCTAGTTTGTTCTAGTTCTGTTCTAGTTCTGTTCTAGTTCTGTTCTAGTTCTGTTCTGTTCTAGTTCTGTTCCAGTTCTGTTCTAGTTCTGTTCTAGTTCTGTTCTAGTTCCGTTCTAGTTCTGTTCTTGTTCTGTTCCAGTTCTGTTCTAGTTCTGTTCTAGTTCTGTTCTAGTTCCGTTCTAGTTCTGTTCTAGTTCTGTTCTAGTTCTGTTCTAGTCTGTTCTAGTTCTGTTTAGTTCTGTTCTGTTCTAGTTCTAGTTGTTCTGTTCTAGTTCTGTCTAGTTCTGTTCTAGTTCTGTTCTATTTCTGTTCTAGTTCTGTTCTAGTTCTGTTCTAGTTTGTTCTAGTTCTGTTCTAGTTCTGTTCTAGTTCTGTTCTAGTTCTGTTCTAGTTCTGTTCTAGTTCTGTTCTAGTTCTGTTCTAGTTCGGTTCTAGTTCTGTTCTAGTTCTGTTCTAGTTCTGTTCTAGTTCTGTTCTAGTTCTGTTCTAGTTCTGTTCTAGTTCTGTCTAGTTATGTTCTAGTTCTGTTCTAGTTCTGTTCTAGTTCTGTTCTAGTTATGTTCTAGTTTTCTAGTTATGTTTTCTAGTTCTGTTCTAGTTTGTTCTAGTTCTGTTCTAGTTCTGTTCTGTTCTGTTAGTTCTTGTCTAGTTCTGTTCTGTTCTAGTTCTGTTCTAGTTGTTCTAGTTCTGTTCTAGTTCTGTTCTAGTTCTGTTCTAGTTCTGTTCTAGTTCTGTTCTAGTTCTGTTTGTTCTAGTTATGTTCTAGTTCTGTTCTAGTTCTGTTCTAGTTCTGTTCTAGTTCTGTTCTAGTTCTGTTCTAGTTCTGTTCTAGTTCGTTCTAGTTCTGTTCTAGTTCTGTTCTAGTTCTGTTCTAGTTCTGTTCTAGTTCTGTTCTAGTTCTGTTCTAGTTCTGTTCTAGTTCTTTCTAGTTCTGTTCTAGTTCTGTTCTAGTTTGTTCTAGTTCTGTTCTAGTTCTGTTCTGTTCCAGTTCTGTTCTAGTTCTGTTCTAGTTCTGTTTAGTTCGTTCTAGTTCTGTTCTAGTTCTGTTCTAGTTCTGTTCTAGTTCTGTTCTAGTTCTGTTCTAGTTCTGTTCTAGTTCTGTTCTGTTCTAGTTCTGTCTGTTCTAGTTCTGTTCTATTCTGTTCTAGTTCTAGTTAGTTCTGTTCTAGTCTGTTCTAGTTCTGTTCTAGTTCTGTTTATGTTCTAGTTCTGTTCTGTTCTGTTCTAGTTCTGTCTAGTTGTTCTAGTTATGTTCTAGTTCTGTTCTAGTTCTGTTCTAGTTCTGTTCTAGTTCTGTTCTAGTTCTGTTCTAGTTCTGTTCTAGTTCTGTTCTAGTTCTGTTCTAGTTCTGTTCTAGTTCTGTTCTAGTTCTGTTCTAGTTCTGTTCTAGTTCTGTTCTAGTTCTGTTAGTTCTAGTTCTGTTCTGTTCAGTTCTGTTCTAGTTCAGTTCTAGTTCAGTTCTAGTTCTGTTCTAGTTTGTTCTAGTTTGTTCTAGTTCTGTTCTAGTTCTGTTCTAGTTATGTTCTAGTTCTGTTCTAGTTCTGTTCTAGTTCTGTTCTAGTTCTGTTCTAGTTCTGTTTAGTAGTTCTGTTCTAGTTCTGTTCAGTTCTGTTCTAGTTCTGTTCTAGTTCTGTTCTAGTTCTGTTCTAGTTTTCTAGTTCTGTTCTAGTTCTGTTCTAGTTCTGTTCTAGTTCTGTTCTAGTTCTGTTCTAGTTCTGTTCTAGTTCTGTTCTAGTTCTGTTCTAGTTCTGTTCTAGTTCTGTTCTAGTTCTGTTCTAGTTTGTTCTAGTTCTGTTCTAGTTCTGTTCTAGTTCTGTTTAGTTCTGTTCTTTCTGTTCTAGTTCTGTTCTAGTTCTGTTTCTGTTCTGTTCTAGTTCTGTTCTAGTTCTGTTCTAGTTCTGTTCTAGTTCTGTTCTAGTTCTGTTCTAGTTCTGTTCTAGTTCTGTTTTTCTGTTCTGTTCTTTTTTTTCTGTTCTAGTTTTTTTTGTTCTAGTTCTGTTTTTGTTCTAGTTCTGTTCTAGTTCTGTTCTAGTTCTGTTCTAGTTCTGTTCTAGTTCTGTTCTAGTTCTGTTCTAGTTCTGTTCTAGTTCTGTTCTAGTTCTGTTCTAGTTCTGTTCTAGTTTGTTCTAGTTTGTTCTAGTTCTGTTCTAGTTCTGTTCTAGTTCTGTTCTAGTTCTGTTCTAGTTCTGTTCTAGTTCTGTTCTAGTTCTGTTCTAGTTCTGTTTAGTTCTGTTTCCAGTTCGTTCTAGTGTCTAGTTCTGCTCTAGTTCTGCTCTAGTTCTGCTCTAGTTCTGTTCTAGTTCTGTTCTAGTTCTATTGTAGTTCTGTTCTAGTCTTTTCTAATTCAGTTATAGTTATGATTTGTAATACATATATTATAGTAAATAAATTTTTTTTCAAAACAACCACCGTTACAATTGGGACATATTCATGCCATTTATTTGGTTGTTATGGTTGTTTTAAACACAATACATATTCGGATTAACATACATATATTTCTATATACACTGTATACAAGATTCGCAACCAGGCGAACAGAAAAATAAGCAAATCGTAATGGAGAAAAAAATGTAACAGAATACAACATATATCATGCATTCATATGTACATAAGTATAGACATATTCATGTACAAACATACCACATATCTGTATATTATATACAAGTGTATAATAAAAAGCTACAAGAAAATAATAACAAATAATATAATATACCTACATACATATGTATTTATGTATGTATGTTTGTGTGTACATATGTAAATATAAATATATTATATTTATTTGTGTAAAATCAAAACACATGTTCAAACAACAAACATACATACATATGTACTGATACTACACTAGTAAATTCGTTTGTAGTTCTGTTAAAATACCTTTGATAAATGTTAGAAAAATATCAAAACGTACTACATACGAACATTCATTCATATGCAAGTACTTCTATGATTTTATTTACCTGCAACTATTTGATGTATTCATTTAATCTTGTGTGATTCGAAGTAATACTTGCATACTCACTTACATAATTTCTGTCTGTTTTATGAATTCGTAGCAAATAAAATTTTCTAGGTATTTTGTTTTTTGCACTTTTATTTTGAATACTTCTTCAGTAAATTAAACATCATGTTTAGTGATTTGTTTGTGAGATTAAATTGGTTATGTCAAAGTAGTTTTAAAATGTAACCCGCTCAAAGAGTAGATAGCTTTTGATTAAAGTGTCAAACACTTTAACTAAAGTAAACAAATGAAAACACAATGATATAGTTTAGTTCTAGTTCAGTTCTAGTTCAGTTCTAGTTCAGTTCTAGTTCAGTTCTAGTTCAGTTCTAGTTCAGTTCTAGTTCAGTTCTAGTTCAGTTCTAGTTCAGTTCTAGTTCAGTTCTAGTTCAGTTCTAGTTCAGTTCTAGTTCAGTTCTAGTTCAGTTCTAGTTCAGTTCTAGTTCAGTTCTAGTTCAGTTCTAGTTCAGTTCTAGTTCAGTTCTAGTTCAGTTCTAG